CACCAGTGTACTTAATCTAACAAACGTCAACTATTCATGTCAGCGAGCTCACTTCACGTATATGCAATTTACACGGCCACCGGCAACATCCAGTCCATACATGTCACATGTTTGTAAACGAAATTTAAAAATATAAACGAATTTTTTTTTCTATGTTTTGCAGAATTCATACTTAAATTTGTAAGGTAAACTAAATTTTAGAATCAATGTGTCAGGTAATAATTTCAATTTGCTTTAATATTAATTATTTGATTAAGTTTTTTGTCATTTATCTACATTTAATTTCTATTTTGATGGGATTGCGATTGCATTTCATTATATTTGGTCAATGTTAACTTTATATTCTCTGATTTCTCTCATTTACTGTTACTGGACTCTTTATTAGCATATATTTTCATCCTGTCATGTGCAATAATAAGCCTAATGAATTTAATAAATTAAATAGAATAACTATATCAACAATAATGCACTAAAATGTTGCAGTTTTTATAAATAACATATGTCCTTTGTAGATACAAACTGTTGCTACTTTATGAACCCATGAATAATAAGGGGTTAAAGGTTTCTTTTTTACTCTTATATTCTAATTTTGTCGAGAATTTTCAAAATTGAATAATTTTAGAGGTATGGCCAGTTCAATCCAATAGCTTCTAAGTTTGTTAATTAAAACTCATTTAAAACAACTTTTAAGGCTTACTACTCAATCCGTACTACATGTTACTTACAATAGTTCATCAAGTAAAAAAACATCTATCAAATAAAATAATTTATTTACTTTAACTCATTTTCACTTCATAAATTCGCTTTTTATAGTTTTTCTCAGCCGGTGTTTACTTAAGACAGATTCATTGTTACCGTAAGATCTAACGAATTCTTTTCCTATGTCTTTACAAGTATTTACCCCTAAATCATTCCGTGGTAAAACATCTCAACTAAAACGTTGACCACCTATAGTTTTTATCACGACCTTATATACCCAGATTTGGGTGTTCGCGGCCTGTCATGTCTTTTAGAAGGCGTATCAGTTTTACGGGCTTGATATTTATTGTACCCAGGTGTTTTGTTGTGGGTTATTGTTTTTTCCATCCATCGTTTCATCACAGGTATTTTGTTTTATTTCTCTATGTAAACCGGACACTTTTTCATCTTTATTTAAACATACAAGGCTGGGATGACTACAGATCTTGTTTTACTCAAACGTTGATATCATGTGACTTAAGTAGGCAAACTTGAGTAAAAGTTGAAAAGTTGAAAAGACGTAATAAGTGTAGCTTTCATCTAACACAGCATAAAGGGAGCATGTTATGTTATTAAATTAACCGTTTTAGTCTCTCAGTGCAGGCATTCCTTTCAGGTTTAAAAAGTTTCAAAATATTTTATTATTTAAGAAAGTATTTTCAATTATTTCGTTGCTCCGGAAATGAGTAGTATAAATTCTGAATGTTCCTTTAAATACGTAAATTACTTAATTTAAGAATTTAATGATTCTTTAAAGGAAATATTTACAAAGCTAACTTAAAAATTTGAAACTTCCTAGAAGCTTTTATCAAATCAAAGTATAAAAACATTAAACTGTTTATTAACAGTAAACTTTTCTGTCAATGCCGACAAAATGTTTGCTGAAGGAGTGTGATAACTGGCAAGTTAGGATGATACTAAAGACCAATGAATTTTTAAAGAAACATTAAATCCTTTGATTAACCAAACTTGCATGGTAAATGTGTTGTCTAAACGATCAATGCACTAAGTTATACAGCAAATTTATTGACGTGTTGTTGTAGTTGTTGCATCGTCCAAACAAACAACCACAAGAAAGAATCGTTCCATTTATTTAGTTTCAAAATCATTATCCGGAACCCACACATCTAGGTTTATTAGCATTGCTTCTGTGACTAATTTGGGTGAACAATGTCAAACATTGATAGAAAACTTTCCAATTCCCATAAATCATTCACCGTTGACCGCTCGGACACGCCCAAAGAGCTCCGACCAAAAGCAAGCGTCCGGGTAACACAGAGTGATTCAAAAGCAGGGACAGGAAATATAGAAATGGATACCGAAGATGGCATATTTACGTTTTCTTAGGCTTTATAGGGAACGTAGAGACGTGATTTACTTTTCTGGCATATAAGAATTGTTGGTAGATCAAAATCATTAAACATTTGCACCGCTTAACCCCAAGGTCATTGCACATTCGGAATGGTAAATGTCACGGCGTGTTAAGTTAACAGTCACCGCTAAAGGAATTAATTAATGGCGGTTAAGCGATACACTTGTTCTTAACAAAATACTTAATTGTGTTTTGTAACATGAGAAAAGTTAAACTATCAATATGTCATTCTTTTTAACGGCTTTAAATCAATTAAGATGGACATTTAATTAGGTCTATGTCAGGCAGATGTCCTTTATTTCCAAAGGAAGAATACCTGTCAAAAACTATATCAAAACATTAAACTAACATCTAAGTATTCGTCTTATATTCAGCCAACTTTTGTATGAAATATCTTCATGCCAAAACTCATTCCTCTACCAAAATTGTAGCAAGCAATTCCTCAATTTGATTGCAGGGAATTATTGATGTAGATATTTATGTAAAACGGTTTATACGGTCTTATGATGAACAATCTAATTGTGTAAGAATTCCTTCAGAATAAAATCTCATCAAAGTCAAGAAATGATGACGTATTCGCTGGTAATGAAGCTATTCCGCGGCTTATGACCAATCTGCCATACACTAATAATTATCAGCAAATTGATTATTAAAATGATCAGGGGGAAATGCGCCATTTTGAGACCCTAAATTGTTGGAAGTTAGTCAGATTCCGGGGAAAGTCTGCCGCGGTAAAATTAAGGAAAATAGCGGTAATTTACCTCGATTCTATGTTATTATTTTAAACCTTACAATTTTCTCGAAAATCGATGGAAATGGCTCAAAAACCACTTCGTCTGTTCCGCGGATCTTATTAAACCTTTACACTACCCGTTAAAAGTTGAAGCTTGTCAAATAAATTAACTATAAAACAGCACAACACCTAATCAGGGCCTATTATGAAATTTCAGCCAAGATCTGGGATGAAAATTACATGTAATCTGGGTAAATTTTCATGTTGACAAACCCAACACTTTAGCCTAATCAAAAATGGTAAATATCACCTTAGATTGGGAAAATTATTCCATCGATATAAATTGGTCAATTTTAAGGGTATATAAAAGAAGCCTTGAATTTTGTGTTACAGAACGGGAAATCTCAGCTAAATGGTCACTTGGGACTCTTTAAGTTAAAGTTTTGAACTTGATTTTAAATACGTAAAACTAACCGAAAGGAATATACATATTTATCGCCTGGAAAGAAAAGTTTTCATTTTAATGGAAATTACATAATGATATAATGAGTGTTTTAACTTTCGAGAATTGTGTTAAAATTTCTTGATTTGTGTTACGTTGTTATAGATATAAAGTTTTAAAACCAAGGTCTGGAAATATTTCTTTTTTTTTATTAGAACTATGTCATTTCATAGAAATAAATGTTGCTATGAAGAAAACATGCTGTGTTAAAGTGTGGTTAGAGTGATATACAATTTCATATGAAAATCTTTGTGTATCTGTTTTTGGAATAATCATATAAAGGTGAAGGTCTAGTTTATATTCCTGCCAGGATTATGGCTTTTTAAACACATGAAAGGTGGATATTTTATTTTTATGTGAACAACTTTAGTGGAAAAAAGACATAGAAATTTGCATATATGCTCATTTACTACAAAATTGAACAAGACTCAAAAAATTAATTATTTCTTGTATTTTTGCAATTTTAAAAAATAAATAAATGTGCATGAACATCTGAACAAAAAATTGTTTGTTGTGTGTGTTTTTTTCCTTCTTACAGTCGTACACCTTTAGAGAAACTGTATAAATTGTCATTTATAATTAAACAATTTATTTCATGAATACGTTTTCCATTTTTCCATCCGATGCTTTATTGAATGTCGTATATTTTTGTAGCGGTTTTGATAAAGACGTATATAGTTTTGTATTGGAGTCAATTTTGTGTATAATAGAAGCAATAAATAAACATCAGATCTTAATCTTAAAGTCAACTTCTGATATGGAAAGATACGAGGGACACAATTCCGGGTTGAATTGCTTTTTGAACAATCTTTTCACATGAGGTACACAATCTTAATGACTCATTCACGCTGCATTTTATCTTGTAAATCGAAATTTGGCGATGACAGAATGAAAATCTGCACATGTCATTTTCGAAGGCATACATTTTCGCAACATCAATAGGAAATTTCAATTTAAAAGTCTTACTATGAAAATGAAAGGACGTTTGGTTCAGTGTTGCATTTTTGCCGTTTAAAAATTTCTAAAATTATAACGCAATTTATGTTAATAGAGTGGCTTGTTTATGAATTTAAATTCCTAAATAAATATTTTAGACATCGTAAATTTTATAAAATACGCGAAACACGTGCACACCGTCTTTTTTTCTTATAAATCAAATATAAAGATTATTTTTTAGAGGTTTCTAGAACCCAATTTGTTATATTCATTGCTGTTTATATAATGAAAACCTGGTTAATGAAACCGCAATTGTGATGTATTTAAATTTGATAATTCTTTTTTTAAACAGTAAATATTTTAGGACCATTTTTGTTTTGGAGCCCAATAGTATTTATTTTACATTTGAGATTTCTTATTTAATATCTCTTCTCTATTCAATTAACAGCATTATTTACTATTGTAATTTATTGCTTTTATTATTATTATTATTATTATTATTATTATTATTATTATTATCATTATTATTATCATTATTATTATTATTATTATTATTATTATTATTATTATTATTATTATTATTATTATTATTATTATTATTATTATTATTATTATTATTATTATTATTATTATTATTATTATTATTATTATTATTATTATTATTATTATTATAATGACTATTGTTCCCATTATATCAATATTATTTCATTTCGACTGACCTGTGTCTGTGTGAGACCTAGTGACGCAGCAAGTTCGGCTCTCTCCGGCAAAGCAAGATACTGGGTTCGCTGGAACCGCCGGTTTAGCTGCTGGAGCTGTAAGCTCGAGTAAATGGTGCGCGGTTTGCGCATTTTCTTGCCCTTTGTCATGCGTAAATCTTCCATGTTTGGCTTATCTGGAAAAACAAAAACACAGAAAATGTTAAAGTTAAAAAAGAACTGTGTGTAATGTAGATATATCATTTGTTAAAATTTCTGGAAATTGAATACTATTATTTTAGTTATTTCATTAATTACATAGGTATGTATATGTATTGTTGATTTGAAATTTTCTATATACACGTGCAAATAAAAGAATATAATTACTGTTCTGTTCATTATACTTTGAAAGATTCCGGTCTGTTTTGTGGCAAAAAATGTGTAAAAATAGAAATGGCTTTTAGTACATATTCTTAATTTAGAATAAACACTATAGAATTAGCTTTTGTATTAATCTTAAATTTAGAATTAATACAATAGAATTGACTTTTTGTATTAATTTTAAATTTGGAATCAACACTGTACTGTTTAAAATGTTGAAGGAAAAAAACAAATGTAATCTATGAAGATATAAACTGCGATTAAAAAGTTCTTATTTTCTAAATACAGCTTCGGATTTATTTTAAATAAATTTGGAACATGAAAAAATATCAGATTATCCGTCTTCTGTATTAACAAATCTTTGGTACTTTAAGGAAATAAGTATTTTCTATCTTATTTATAAAAAAAATAACAATAAATAGAACTATTTTTTACTGTATTAATCGTAGGAGAGTGAGGCTCTCTTGGTTAGGGATATATAGCGAAAATAAATAACTTCTTTAAAAAAAGAAATATAAACAGGCATGAATGTGGCTTGACAACAAAGCCGCAGATTTCAAATATATGTATAGAACAGCACAATCTTCCCCTCGATTTCTTTACAAACTCAGATATTTTTTTTCGTTTTTTGAAATACAAACTACGCTTTCTTTCTTTATTTATTCAGTTGTTACAAGAGATTTTTGCTTTAATTTATGTATTACACGACGTTTAAGGTTTATTTAGCGTTGAATTGGGTAACGAAGTGGCACCCCCGGGGTGCGAATGTCTCTTTGGGCGTATTTTGCCATTTAACACCCCACAGTCCTGTTTTGTTACGTGAACTGATGGCTGATTTTGTATGTTCGTCTGCTTCGGCATTGTAAAATTGTTGTAAAAAATGTGTGGACAAAAAACGCAACTTTTTAGAGACAGCTTTTTCTATATCTAAGTGTGACAGTGAGAAGTATTTATCAGCAAGAAATCAATTAACAAAATTCTTACAAATCTCAATTTATATTTCGATTAAAGGAAAATAAGTTAATAATGGTATTTTATGATATTTTAATACATTATCTAAATGGTCACGTGATATCTAAAGTTACATTTTTGTTAATGAAATGTGACTAATTGTGTAAATATCGTGTAACATTTTATATAAAATTAATTTGTCTTTTCTTGAACGTTTACGATTTTTAACAAATCATTTTCTACCATTTAAAAAATCATTTGAAAACTCGTGTTACATTTTATCCATACTTGATCTGTGTAATTAGGCTTTACCAATTCGTCTTCTATTGAGCGTTAATGGAATGATATCACTGCGCGAAGTAGCGCCAGAACCGCCGTACCCTGGGGACTATTTAACGCAAAAGTTAACATGGTACCCTCAGGGGTATTTCAAGAGAATTAATGTGCCACCACAACTGTGAAAGTGACACTATTGTACAAATTAAATAATAGAGTTAGAGGCATTAGACTGTTGTTTTGTCGCAAAATCAAGATGTTTCGCCTGTTAAGATTTTAATATGATTATATATTATGTTATAGAGTGAAAAGGAGCTTCTTACCAAATGAAAATATGTTTAAAGGAAAAGAAAGTATGCTTTTTAAAGGCGACCAAATCATATTAGAAACCAAGGCTGTTGTTATTTGTATTTAGAATCAACCGTGCAATCAAGTAATATACTTAATTATAGATTATTCCTGTTTCTTATCATTTTATTATCCAAATTTAACAATAATTATCAATAAAATGCTATATATACAAGGTGTTTCATTTCGAAGTGTAAATAGAAGAAGCTGACATGTTTTTTTATAAACAGATGACAAATGAGAGATTTAAAGACAATAAGTTTGTAAAATTCATTATCTAATTAAAAAAAATCAGAAGGCAACATGGAAAAACAAAACCAGTAAAAAACCTGTATTGTTCGAGTGTTAAAATATACATTTCATTTTTTAAATATGCAATATTTCTCTATGTCTGCATGCATGTATTTTCTTCAATAATTAAGTCTTCAATAACTAAGTTTCACATTCCTGTAAATTACAGAATATACATGTTGTATTGAAGGGCGATGCTTTACTACAAGGAGGATTAAATATTATGAATAAAATCATGAAGAAAAAATATATAATCATTGTGTCAAACTTGAATGCAGTTTCAATGTAAAATGCGTTCTAATAAAACTATGAATCGCTGCCTTTTACGGATATAATATTTAAAGTGACGTATAAGCTAAATGCGACAAAAGCCATATTGTTTAATTTTAATTTAAATTGTTTTTAAAGAACATGATTATATATGGGCAAGGCATTCACTTTAGATAGCTTAAATGGAAAATAATACTTTGAATAATACCTTATTTTCCTACTTATTTATTGTTGTTTTGCATGTTTGCAATAATAATAGTAGATGCTGTTTTAATTTTGTCATGATTTTGATTAGATATAAAAGTTTATGATTTTTGAAGAAAAACATTTTACTGACTTTCGCAAAGAACAATAAATATAGAAGCGTATACACTATTTCTATTTTTAAAGCATTTACACAAATATTGAAGATGTCTGTCACAAACTTTAAAATAATTCAAGAAAATAAAATGTTACTATCGGAAGCTGATTTCCTTTCAAACCACTTGTTATTTCACGTCTTGCTGAATAATATTCAATAATTTAATTTGACAATTCACCATTCTTATCTTTATTGCACGAATATCACGTGTTGATAACTAGAAAATAGTTATATTACCTCATATTTAATTCGCGTGCATTTTTTTCTTTTCGTTATTTATTTCCCATTCCGCTTATTTATGTTCTGTGAGCGAAACTTATAAAATAAACTGACGGATATGGTCTGCTATCGGTTCCACTTAGTTAATGAAATCATTGTTTTGTCGGGTAAATTGTTACTCATAAATATTTCATAGGAATCTTTGTTTATTTAACACGAGCATGAAAATGTCCGTTAGACATGGAATCGTTCCATGTCATGTTTTTCCGTTGATATTTTCCATTTCTCTAAATTATGTAAATTTTTCTTTCAAGATATTTACAAGGGGATAATATCTGTAACACAAAAGGAAAGGAATAAATTTACACTTTCCGGAGTAAGACAGTTAGAGATATTTAATGGAAGCTCTGTAACACCGCACTTTGGGGTCAAACGCACTTTGGGGTCCAACCCCAAAGTGCGTTACGTACTTTGGGGTCCGACCCCAGAGTGCGTTACGCACTTTGGGGTTCAATTTCGACCCCAAAGTGCGTTAAACAGGTACATATGCATTTTTTATACATCAGGCAAACGACCGCACTTTGGGTCAGAAGAAATTTATGTTCATTATGTTTTAAATATGGTAAACAATGGTAAACAAAATCAAGGTATTAAATAGACCGGAACATGTGCTCTGAATCAATAGTGGATTTAAATGGTCTTTGATTAGTAAGTTAAGAACTTTCACTAAATAAATCACCAAATAAAGAATTTGTATCAATTATTAAGCTTAAAATATGTTTTCTCAAACTTTTCCATTTATTTTAAAAGAATGTACACCCTTCATTAACTCCATTGTTTTAAGCTAAATGCTCATTTTCCCGTTTGTTATTTACACATTTACAGAAATATGATAGTCTTAGCATAGACAAAGCTATAAATTCTGGGTAATCTTAGTAAGACATTTCAGTAAAAAATTTGCATTGATTAATATTGTTAAAATACCCTTATTTAGCTAACTGTGACACATAAGAAACTTGACAAGGTGTAGATGCGGCTTTAATATGTATTTTATAATACATGTGTAATTATTGTTTTGTTTTTTTTATTATTATATATTATCATATAAGTGTCTATTTGGAAGGGCTGTTGATTGGTGCATCAGTTATTATTCCATGAATATTGCACCACCTCAACCCAACCCCCTGAGAATAGCGGGGGGGGGTTGACTTTAAAACCAAGCCGACCACTGGTAAAATCTTCGCTCTACGGGGGATATGCAGATAATAACATTCCGTGCCTTATGCCCCGGAACAGTGCAGACACCAAAACACGATTCTATTTTAACCCGCACTCCCCCGGGGGCAAGGGAGGTGGTTAAAAATGACTTTGTATTACAATAATGCAACAATAAAACATCTAAATAGGTCCTTATATTCCACTGATTTAGAAAAATATGGATATATATACATGTATATAAATGTACATGTATATTTATACTAAAAAGTGTTGTTATCATTTTGATACTCCAAAAAAATGAAAATGTTGGTATTTGCAAATGGCGTTTGCAAATGGGGTACTGTAAATTTACCGATGGCGAAGTGTTTTGAAAATCAAAAACAAAAAAAAGTTGCAAATGTCACTTTTATGCCACCGTATTCAAAAAACTCCAGTACAGAAATTGTGTATTCCTAAAGTTAAAAGATTGCTGCGAAAAATATCCCGTTCTGTCAGTCATTTACTTGATAACTTTTTGGTGCCATGTTGAGCCCCACTTTAAATATGTTGGGAATGAAATAAAATGCAGTTAATATTTTTTTTTTCCAAAGAACTATAAAATAACTCTATTGCAAGTTCTGGTGAAACATCAAGTTTTTAGATTCAGACTATAAATAGTGATTTTTACAAATACATTATTAAGCTTATCAACTTGTAAGCTCCGTAAACAAACCGTTCGCCAGAGGCTTTTTTAATGGATAATCTTTAGAAAGAGCAAACCATGAATTTTTATAATGTTAAAATAAAGGTATCAGAGAAATGTTAGATGTTTGCTACCCGAATAAAGTAGCAATAAATGTGAAAATTATATTTGTAATAAAAGTTGTCAAAACAATGTAGTAATTTGACTGCCATATAAAAATACTTATTCACTATAACTGTACTCCATCATTGTCAAAAAGCAACCAGATGAAAGGATGACTGT